CTCACACTGACTGGATAGTCAGCGGCAGCTGTGACGGAGCAGGGGGACACTCACGACTGCGAGGGTACAGCGAGGGCGCACGCATATTGCAAGCTATCAGGTGTCTCTACAGATGCCTGAACACTTGTATATGAACAGCGATCACTGGCTGTTAAGCTGATTTCCTGCTCGTGTGAGTCGCCTAGGACCGGCAAGGGACGTTTAAAAACGCCCACCCGCTTCCAAGAAGCCGCTGTCCGGCCATTTTAATGACAACGGCTGGACAGCAGGTGGTTAAAGGGGCTGCAGGAGATCCATGAGATAAGGGAGACAGGTGGGTGGCTTTTTATGGAATTCTGCAGTGTGGTAGGCGGCACAAGTTTACATCCACTTTAATCTCCAATGCTGGGTGCTGCTCAGCCATGCTGAGTTGTAGCTAGTTGTAGAGCAGACTGCACTTCTATGGAAATCTAATCTGCTCTGCCTAAGAATCGCCACTCCTGGGGTCCAAATGCTGGAAGGGGACTTCCTGATCTATAAGGGATTTGGGTTTTCCCCCACAGGCTTTGTAAAAAGATTTAATATTTGTAGTTGGACTGCTGTGGTGTCTCTGTATTGAACTGCAGACAACATACAGTAACCCAATGGAAGCCGAGACTGTCTGTAAAATGCAGATCTGGCCCCAAATGAACTCCCTATGGGCCAATTTACACTTCTGCTGTGCGTGTGACTCATTAAAGGAGACCATTGAAATTGCTGCCAAAAATCAGATGCACTTTGCGACACTGGTATGTTGCAGTGCGTTTGTGCTGTGATGCATGTGCATCGGGGTTCAAAATGAATGGCAGCGTACATGGCATGCATTGAGGTAATGCAATAGTGTAAATGAGTCCCTCATGTCAAATTAAGGATTCCAAAACCTGAACACAATGAGGGTGTCACTTTTGTGTTCTCATTTTAAAGTCAAACCTCAAACTAGCTTCCTTATCAGAATTGCTTTGTTGATTGCAGGGGCTTCCTCCTTTCCGGTTCAACTTACTCCTCATTCATTGATGTGAACATGGATCTGAACCCCGTCCGGAAGGTGGAATTTGTCTGGCATCAGGCAGCATTTAAGATTCTGCATCCCAAACTGGGTGCCTCATCTGTTGACGTGCAATATGGACCTAGTGGCGAGACGTATGTATCCCATATCTAATTCCTTGCAATGGCTTAAAGCCATCAGTGCAACCTAAAATGGTGATGTGCCATAATGATACCCAAAGCCTATCCTGGTATAATGACCATTTTGTTTCAGGGTTTTTGTTTTTTTGGGTATGGGGGGGGGGCCCCCCTCCCCCGCACCTTTTGAGCACCTTAAGAACCCTAAAATGTTGGCTTCACAATTCCTGGATTCTTTGGCTGTATTCAATCATTACTTCAGGGGCAGTTTTTTTCCTTTGCTGGCCTGTTTAAAAGTTGCTTTTGACTTTATGCTGAGCTGTCCTGAATGTAGAAAAGGGTGAAATAAGATGAGCTGGAGCAGAAAAGCTAAAGTTTCACATACCGCCATAGATGTAAAATCAGCCAAGACTCTGGAATCCCCTGTGCAGGACATGGCCCTTAGACTTCTGAGCCTGGACATTGGGTCCAGCTCTAAAGCTTCCTTTTGGAAACTTGTGATTTTTTTTTTTTTTAAATGAGCAAATCCTTAAAGCTAATATTGGGGATAATATACCCACCTCTGGTCACTGGCCTAAAAAACTAAAGCCATGGCCATGTGACTCTGCAATTCCAAGCCTTTACTCTTCTGTTTTATAGCTGGTAGGGTCCCTCAGGTGTCCACTGCCTGCATAATGTGAACAATTCCTAGTGCTTGTTCATCAGAGGGGTCCTCTCCATCCCAGAGTGGTCAGAGCAAGGGGGCCATAGGGAACAATCTGCATCACTGGGTTAGTGGTCCCTTGCGCACAAACTGTGCTGGCCAAGGACCTGGTTTGTAGATTTAGGAAAGTGTATGTATTTTATATTGTATTATATTTTTATCAGGTAAGGAAAACCTTGGATGGGGTTAGAGGGTCATGGGAGAGGGTGAATATTTTGCCCCAGACTAGATCTCTAAAGCTGCATTTAATTCTAGTATTTGCTTTGGAACGTCATTGCTGAAATAAGTGTATTCATATTGCATGCTCTTCTCCAGGTACAAGTTCTGTGGAGGTGATCGGACTGAAGAAAACACAATCCAGACTCTAGAAGAATGTTTGTAATGGCATACTATGACTTGATTGGTAATAAATGGAAAAAGGAAAAACATTTGGTGTGCTTTCTTTCTAAAATTGTTCTGAAGTTTGGCTATTTCACAACTCTATAGGCTGTCTGCAGTAAACTTGCTCCAACGTCTAGACTTTTTTTTTTGCTTCCTCGTGGTTCACTTGGCTCTATCCCTTCTACCTGTCAATCCTCATCTTGACATGTTTGCCCCTTGGCCAATAGGGGGCCTACCAGGTGGGAGTGATTGGACCAAGCGTGACTTATCTGGAAGCATTGAGATCCCTTTTCGAAACACTTCCTTGGGGCTATTATAATGGCCTCTGCTACTCAGGGGGCTTGCCACAAGATTTTGGAGAGTCTGGCACTTGTGCCCATTTTTGAGGTCAGGAACAGATGTTGGATGGGGTCGGGTACACAATCAATTTCCAATTCAGCCCAAAGGTGTCCAGTAGGGTTGAGGTCAGGGCTCTGCAGGACACTCCAGTTCCTCAACACCAAACTGGTCAGACTAATGTCTTTATGGAGCTGGCTTTGTGCACAGGGTGCAGTCATGGTTGACCTAAAAAAGGGCCACTATTGCCACACCTGTTGGGTTCAACAACAGTTGTCATTCTGATCACTGCTCTATTTTTGCATATTTGGTCTGTAATGTGGTCATGAAACTTAAACTTGTTGGCAAATGAGCTGTCGGGTCTGCCTAGCACTGGAGCTCATGTAGCCACTAGAGTCCATGTTCCACAAAGGAAGAAATTCTAGCTGCGATCATCTCCAGTTAGCAGAGTTAATGCAATTCCTATGCTGGGGAGAGTGTACCTCAAGATACAGATTATTGCAGGACTGTATCTACATTGTAGCTCTATAGTCTGCACTGTCCCATAATGGTCCTAACTTGTGAGTTGAAGCGAGACGAATCTTAGTTTTTTGGCTGGACTGTTAAACTCTAACACTCGGTGCTGTTAGCACATTTCTCCTTTTTCCTGTCACACTTGGGATATGTTTTAAGAAACGTGTCTTCCTGTTCTGCCTGTCGCCTGGGCAGGAAGTATGGGGAAATCTCCTGCATGGGGGAGAAACGTAACGTAACATTTCTATCTGAAGTTTAAAATCTTCCCTGTACTAGAACAATAGTTGTTGCTGTCGGGCAGGGGCACATAGAGGCCATCTTGGGCAATCCACAAGGACTGG